CTGACATTCCATCACATTCAGAGTGACTTGCAGCCACGTGTGGACCATGGGTGGCAACATTTGGTACCAAGCATCTTTTCATTGGGAAAACCAGACTCTGCACTTCCTCTACCTCACTCGGGGAACCCTCTGCTATAGGGTTTCAAGGCAAAGGTCAGCTGATAAGGGAACTTTCTGCCTAGTTCTTGGCTTGATTTCCTAGCACAGTGATAGGCACATAGATACTCAGTTTTGTGTGACCGATTAAGAGAAATGTGTGTGGGTATGAGCCTGCACATGAAACACTGAAGACATCTCTTGCCACGCAAATGCATGTTGTGTTGTATTTCCTGGACAATGCATTTGTAAAAGTATGTACATGTGTACTTAAAGCTATATGTACATTTATTTTAAAATTGTAAGACAGGTAAGCCACATTAGTACATCCATTTCCTCCCCCTAAACACAAACTCAGAAATAAGATCAATCAGGACTTTTCTCTCTCAGCTCATTCATTCATGGCCCTTGCCAGTGTGACTCTACTCATGAATATTCCTTTTGTAAAATACTGGCTCCTCTCTGGACTCAAAATTAAGCCAAGCTGTGATCTATGGAGGCTAAATCTTTTCCTTCTTTATTGCTTCCCAAGTGATCTTGCTTAGAATTCTTTAGGCCTATCCTTATTTGGCCTATGAGAAACTGGGCCCCAGGTCCACCAGAATGTTGCAACTCCTATAGATCACATTGGAAGGCGGACTAAGGATTCAGCCAAATCAAGCAGCCCAGGACCACATTAACCTTTCACTGATCCTTTCACTTGTTCAGTTAAAAAGAAATTAATTGAATTAGGAAGTTGCTACACATCAGAGAGAGACAGAGGGATGGGGGGGGGGCGTGCGGGGGAGGGGGTAGAGGCAGAGATAGAGATGGAGAGAGGCTACATGAGAACCTAAATGTCTGTCCCATCTATCAGCAGGCTTTGAAATAATCATTATCCTGCAAACTGCCCTTGCAGACTAGGGATAATGATCCACCAGTTTCTCCTTCTACTCCTTAGCAGGGGATGAGGGGATGGATATGCCATTGGATCAATCCCTATGTAGTAAGAAACCAAATAAACTCATGAAAGTAAAAATATCATTTCTTTATTTACCCTCTGAAAGAAAACATATGGGCACCAGTTTACTGATGATGCTCCATTCTGCTTCCTTGATATGTGCCAGATCCAGTGTGAAATCCAGGACGGGACAGTCTGGGGGGAAGTCCATCATCTCTGGGGAGATTACATGTGTTTCTTCTTTTTCTTTTGCTACTGTTGTTGTTGTTGTTGTTTGGTGCCAGTTCTAGGCCTTAAACTCAGGGCCTGGACAATATCCCTAAGCATTTTTGCTGAAGGCTTGGCACTCTACCACTTGAACCACGTCTCCACTTCCAGATTTTGGGTGGCTAACTGGAGTCTCACAGACTTTCTTGGGCTGGGCTGGCTTTGAACCATAATATGCAGATCTCAGCTAGCATTATAAGGTAGGAGCTCCCGCACCTGGCTAATTTCCTCCTTTTCTGAGATTTACCAATAGAAACCTTTTAAGAGTTAACACAAAACATACATTCATTCACAGCAAAGAATTTTTACCCTGTTTGATTATGTTCATGTACCAGGGGTGGGGAACCTTTTTTCAGTTTGTTTTTTTTTTCAGCCAAAGGCCATTTAGAAACTTAGAACATTTTTTGAGGACCATACAAAAGTATGAATACAGGCAGCCTAGCACAGGTGATGAGAAGCAAAGGAGAATAGATGTCCCATGTAAGAAATGAGTTTACTCTGGCCCAAGTAGTTATTCTTACTTTTTTTTTCCTTTGAGAACATTTGGTTAAAAATAAAAGTATAGGAAGAATACAACACTAATAACATGTTTCCCCTTCCACATAGTACAAACTCTGTAAGCATTTAATTAATAAAATGTAAAGCTATTCCCAGATGCTTATTGCATTTTAATATTGTATTTCTGCATTTTTGTATTTTAATATACAGTGGGTATAAGTTTTACTGAAAGGTATAAATTATGGCTGCCATTTGGCATTATTGAAAGGGCATAAGGAACCTTTCATTCCTTGCTGATTTGTTTGGTTGGAAACTTATGATTTCATAGAAAATTTGTGTCTCAACTGATGTAGAATAAAACCACGTTCATTCATTTTGGTGGCAGTGCTGGGACTTGCACTCAGGGCCTAGGCGCTGCCCCTTAGCTTTTTCACTCAAGTCTGGTGCTAAACCACTTGAACTACAGCTTCATTTGGTTTTTTGCTGGATAAGAGTCTCACAGTTTCCTGCCCACGTTGGCTTTGAACCAGACTTAGCCTCCTGAATAGCTAGGATTCCAGATATGCGCCACTGGTACCTGGCCTACCTCTTTTTTTTTTTTTCTTTGCCAAGTTTCCTGGGTGCTTTGTGTTAACATAAAGAGCAGTAGTATAGCTAGGGTTAAAGGCAGAATCCATGTAAGAGAGGTATGTATTACAAAGCATCCAGGCACACAGGAAGGTTAGAACTTAATATCTGAAATTCTGTTGCTCATTAGTTGTAGGTTGTGAATGAAACACATTTCTAAAGGGCAAGGTCAATATTACATTATCCCAGAAGTGTCTTTCTGAAATAAATGTGTAAATATTTCACATAAATATGATGAGATGAGATTTCTGTGGAGGATCTTACTACATGCAATTACTACTTGTAACTGCAGGAATACATGGCACGTTGTTCTTTGTCATTCCCCATTACCGATTTCATTTGAAATGGTCTGGAAATACATGCCGATGACTAGTGATGTAAGGCTATTTACCTTGGAGTCAGATGTCTGACCAGCCAGCAAAAGCTAATGGATTTGGTTATTTTCAAAGCATTATTTTTCTAAAGCAGGATACTGTTTTCCAGTGACATCATGAATTCTCAGAGTTGTACATCTAGATTCATTCTCACTAAGTAAAGAACAATATAACTGTGAATGTGTAATTACTGAATATGTGTATGTGTGTGTGTGTCTGTGTCCGTGTCCGTGTCCTCCAATACAGGGGCTTGAACTCAAGGCCTGAGTATTATTCCTTAGCTTTTTCACCCAGAGCTAGCATGCTGGTGACTTGAGCCATAGCTCTACTTCTGGCTTTTTTGCTGGTTAACTGAAGATAAGTCTCTCACTTTCCTGTCCAGTCTGGCCTCCAACCGAAATCTTCAGATCTCAGGTTCCTGAGTACAGTAGCTAGGATTACAGGTGTGAGCCACTGGCCACTCAGTTTGCTTTATTTTTACCAGCACAAAGGGTGAGAAAAGTGGGCCTAGGAACTACCACCAGGCTAGCGTGGAGTTCCCTCTTCTTCTCGTTGTCAGCACAGGGAAATCAAGAACCAGATTTGAAGGATGGAGCCTGTGTCCCTGAGGGGCGTTGCCTCACTGGCAAGTGGGTTGCATCACAGGAACATGGTGTGATCTAATTTCATAACTGTAAACATTACATGGAGTATGGTTAATTCCTTTGCAACCCTTGTCCACTTTGCTATGGCTGGACAACTGAGTTAACATGGGTAGGTCTTGGCTTTACATTTTTATAATGCTTTTTTTATTGTGGTTTTTATTTGGTGGTGGTTTTTATTGTGGTGGTATTTTATTCTAAAGGGGGAAACCTGGGCTCTGATAGATCTGAAATCAAACATTTTTCTTTGAAACACACACACACACACACACACACACACACAGTTTGACTGAAACACAGTGAACTTTTCTGACCTTCTCAATGAGAGCACTGTGAAAATGTTGGGAAAACTTAATTTTTGCCTTGAAAAGGGGCTTGGAGATTTGGGAAGCTCTGAAATCTTGTTTTTTTTCAGGGCTGTCTGCATGTGTTTTAAATTATGGTTCAATGGGGGCAAGGGAAACTCAGTTATATGGGAAAGAAAAAAAAGAGACAGAAAAATGCTAGAATTCTTATTTAATTATCCTAAAGGCAACAACTAATAGTCACCCAGTATTTTTTTTTAATTTGTAAATGGCAAAATGGACCAACAGCAACAAAAAGTAGAATTGAAATTTCTCAGAAGAACAGCAGCAGGTAGGCAAATGTGATTTTTGGGAACCCCCCCCATTATTATTATTTATTATAGCTCTAATTCCCCCTATTCCTCATTATTATAAATGCACTTGTCCAAGTTTTAAATAATCCAGATTGTGGCTAAATAGCTATGAAATTCACCATACGGATATTCATTTGTACAATAATAATGTCATGATTTACACTCGGCCAGTAAAGACGATTAAGCTTCAAAGTGTGGAGGGAATTAAATCTTAGTTAGCAAGTTAAAATTCATAACGTTGGTCTTTAGAGACTTTTGTAAAAACACCCCCCACCCCGTGTAAAATACGTTTTATCTTTAGGGTTATGAAACTAGAGTCTTTTCCCGCTTAGAGATGGGTTCTCCGGGAAGGTAATTCTGGTCATGATAAACTTGAGAATTGAGGTTTAAATTGGCTAGCACCTGGAGCGCATTTGGGTGATTTCACAACGTTTTTCTAATTCTCCCAGGTGTCCGTGGCTTTATTCTGGAGGGGGGGCGGAGAAGGGGGGGAGGAACAGGACTTCAGCTGGCATGAAGAGGATTACTGGGGGCGGAGTTCCCCGGTGCCCAGATAGTCTCTTTTGTAAAACTAAGGGGGCGCTTATGTCCCTGTTCCAGGATCACTGCTTTGTAGGAGCTTTGTGGAACCAGGGTGCTCTGAAAAATTAGGGTGACTATCCTCTAGATCAAACCCCTCCCCCTCCTTTTTTTTTCTGCCAACCAATGGAAAGCGCCCCACACCTCCCGGGAGCAGGGGGTCCGGGCAGTGGCGTCCGGCGGCGGCGCCTCAGGCCTCCCCGAGTTTGGGGGGGGGGGGGGGATGGGAGAAAGTGATCCGACGCGTGCGGCACCGGGCGGTCCCTGGCGATTGGACTGGCAAGGAAAGGGTGTGTGTGTGGCGGGAAGGTGGGGGGGGGGGGGCCTGGGTGCGGGCCCGGGGCGCAGGAGGGCAGCGCGGAGCCCGCGTGGACCCGCCCAGCCGCGGCGGTGGAGGCTCACCTGCCCGCGGGGGCGCGGCGGGGCGGGGCGCGGGGCCCGGGCGCACCCGCTCCCCGCCTCCCGCCTCCCGCCTCCCGCCCCGGGAGGAAGCGGAGGGGCGCGGTGTAAACAGAGCTGCGGCCGTGATGTCAGCCGGTCACATGGAGCCTCTTATGGCTCCGGATGGCTCTCGGCGGGCGGGCAGCTGCGGCAGCTGCTGCTGTGGCTCGGGCGGCGGCGGCAGAGGGGGCTCCGGGGTCGGACCATCCGCTCTCCCTGCGCGCTCTCCGCACCGCGGCTTAAATGATGTATTTTGTGATCGCAGCGATGAAAGGTGAGCCGGGGCGCCCTGCCGGGGGACTCGGGTGGGCTGGCGGCTCGGTGCGGGGGGTGCAGGGGGGCGGAGAGGAAGGCGCGCAGGGGGAGGGGTGGGCGCGCCTGCCCGGGCGCACGTACGGCCCGGGGCTGGGCACCGGGGCCCCCTCCGAGGCCTCCCGTGTCAGCGCTGCGGCGCCCGCGGAGCCCGGCCCGGTCTCGGGTTTTGGGGCACCGGTGCGCGGGCTGAACCCGGCGTCTCCGACCTTTCCGGCTTCTGTCACCCGCCTGGGTCTGCTTGGCACCCGGCAGGGCTCCCCAAAAGAAAAGTTTGCCTGGAGTCGCGGCGCTTGGGGAAGGGAAGGGTCTGGACAGCCGGGGGGACGCGCGCGGGGGTCGGGGGGATCCGGTCCCGACCCACACACACACAAGGACCCGCACCCCGGATCGCTGTGGCCTACGTGGGGGGAGGGCGCCCCGCGGCCAGGCCAGGCCGTGCGAGCAGTCGCGCTGTCACCCTCAGGGTCTGGTTTAGAGCCCCAGGCCTTCCTCACGCCCCCCCCCCAGCACCCCCCGCACCCCCTCGGGCCGGGAAGCTCGGCTCGCCCGCGCCCCACGTCGGCTGGGGACGTCCAGACCGGTCCACGCCGTGGCCACTTCCGAAAGCGCGCGCGGGCCGGGCGAGGCGGAGCGGCAGGGACTCCCCGGCGGCGGCGGGCGGGCGCCCCAGCCGCAGCGCACCCCACTTAGGTAACTTAGGTTTGCGCATGGGTGTGGGAAGCCAACTCTCAGCCCACAGGACCGGCGGGCAGAGGCCGGGGAGAGACCGTGGGGGGAGGACCGACGGGTGCGATTAACCTCCGCACCCGGCCTTCCAGTCCTGATCCGAGGTGGGGGGATCGGAGCCCGGCCATTAACGTAGGGTGGCGGGGGTGGGGTGGGCTGGTGAGAGTGGGGGTCATGGTCGTAAAGGAAGGGCAGAGGTCTCCAGTGAGGAGCAACGAAGCCCGTGGCAAGGCAGAGAAGTTTCTGACCGGAAAGCCAAAGTTTGGGAGGTGTGCAAAAAATAAAAAGTCGCCTTTGCTTTGCCGGAACAACCGAGCCTCGCGCTCCGAGTACCGCGAGCCGCCCCGGAGAGACTCAGCGCCGCGGCTCCGCGGCGGTGGATAATCCGCAGCTTCGCCGGCCCCGCCGCCACGCGTGGGGATTTAAACCCCGTCTGCGTGAAGCGCAGCCCCTCGGAGCTGTCTCGCGAGCGAGTTCCGCACGGCGGGCGCGGGGGCCCGGCGCGGAGAGATGCTCGCCTCGCTTGGGGATGAAGGCCACCCCACCGGGCCGGTTCTCCGCGAGCTTTGCGTTTCTTCAGTACCTATTGGGTGGCATCGTTTATTAATTAGGAACCCGCCGAAACGCACGGGAGGCCGGAGGCGAGCGGGAAGCGAGCTCTCTTCCGTAGGATGAACGTTTTCACCCCCTCCCCTTCGCAGTCGGCAGGTAGATGGGGTCGAACCTGTGCCACGCGGGATTTTAAGTAAAGGAGAGGCAACTTTCTCGGATGCACGCTTTTAAGCATGGAAAAAGCATCTGGAAGGGGAAAAATGTTTCTTACCGAATTCTTATGTGAAAGAATTCAACCCCCCCCCCCCCAAAAGAAGCCCTAAACACTTCCAGGCGATTCCTGCGGTCTTCGTAAAGCGACTCAAGTGTCATTTATGAAGACATTTCATTCTTTTATTTCCCTGTAAATTAAAACAATAGATTTTGCTACTAGGTTTTGGTGATACGTGTATATATAAATATATGTGATATTTATGAATATTTGTGGTTGATTGGGAGAAAGTAGAGAGGCTGAGATGTTTTAAGTAGCTTTTTCCTCCTCTCTCTAATGAACAGTAACCAGACAATAAGGAAAGGCTGTTTTGATAATGTAATTTAACTTTGATTTTTTTCCCCCTAGTCATGCAGGCTTTTGCTTTCGAAGTACTAGTAGACAGTGAAGTTTTGAGTGCAAGCGCTCCCTTAATAATAGAATTGTGAGAACTTGCACATTCTCCCTCACCTACACACCTTTTAGTCTTTGAGTGACCATTGGCTGGAATAAACTAATAGATTAAAAGCGTTGTGCTTTGAGATAAGTAGCTCTGAGGTACCAGCAATGCCATTCCCCCCCTCCCATAAGCTCAGTTGCAGAGAGAGAGAGAGAATGAATATAAATAAATCTGGACCATTAGAATATTTCATTCCCAATAGCGCAACATCCTGTGTTTTAATAGAATTATCTTGCCTTTGGTGCAAATTTTGACGGAAGAAAAATAGATTGTGGGGAAAATGAGGAATGCAGTAAATGTTTCCATATCAGATAAAAAAAAAAAAAACTTGGTCCCGAATCATATTAAATACTTCCCTCCTGCCTCTCAGTTAATAGTTAAATTGGTTCCATATGTGAGCAAGTTTGTATAATTAGACCTTTTTCTGCAAAATAGAAAAGGCACTATTTACAAAGTAGCTTTTTGGTATATGGATGCCTGAGGACAAAAGAGGAGCCAATAAGCAACGATAAAACAGAAACATCTTTACTAGCTCATTTACTGAGGGTTTAAAAAAAAAAAAAGTCATTCAAAAATCAGGCGTTTTGAACTCACCAAAGAATAATCTTTCTTAGCGGTGAGTTATGAAGTCTAGTTGTTGTTGGTTTTGTTGTTTTTAAGTAGTTTCAGCCTTGCAGGTGATACATCTTCATTTGAGCCCCGCTGGTCTCCCTCTTCAGTTTTGTTTTTGAGATTGCTTCTTGGGCAAGCAGAAAGCAGCAGCAGCTCAGTACTGTGTGTAGTCAGGGGCACACTTGTCCTGCTCCTTCTAAAAAGTACATTCACCAAATGTCATCCATGCAGCTGAGCTCTAGAAGGCAGAGAGAGCATTGCTCCTTGGTTTGGTAAGAGTATGTGTACCTTTAGTCGGCCTCTGGGAGTCTGAATGATGAAGGGAGGCTGGCCAAGGATTTGCTGTCCAGGAGAGATTTTTCTTATTTGGGCGCCTGTGCAAAGCACCTGGTCCCTGTGAAAGTGCACTGGAGGTCTGTGAATAGATTCACACCCAACTTTATTGGATAGGATTGTATGGTTTGGGAGAACCGGGCTTTTTCTTTTTAACTATGTGAATTTGGCTTTTGTCTCTACTCTGTTTCAGCCCTCCCCACCCCTTCCATGGTATACTTGTGCTGGGATTTTTAAAAAAAAATTTTATTTCTCCTATTTGGAAAGATGAGTAAGACTTGGGAGTTGTTAAAAAGATGCTGAAAAGGGAAAACATACATAGCTGAAAGTATGGAACAAGTTGGTTTGGTGCTGGTGGGTTTTTTTCTTGTTTTTAATTGTATTTTTATTATCTTGAAATCATTGTACAAAGGGGTTACCATTGACCTAAATCAGATTATATAAGTACAGTGCCTCTTGGACGATGTACCACCCTTTTCAGTGTCACCCCCAATCCCAGCCCAACCCTCCTCTCAGTTTTCCTAGTTTCATAGGATATGTATCGAATATTATGACTGCACACCCCGGCTGTTTTAAAGACAAAAATGTCTGTGAATTGATTGTGTATGGCTAGAAGGGACCCTGGAGCAGAGAGGGTTTATTAAGGCCCATTTTTCATAGATCACCTAATTGGTTTTATGTATATCAGTCACATCACCCTTGTCAGGAAAAGCAGCTATATGCTTAAGTCAATCACTTCCCATCCGTTTGAGTTGAGAACTGTTGAGATCTTATCCCAATGTTACCAGGTATAAATTAATACAACTTCTAAGCAGAAATGTATTTTTAATGTATACATTCCATGATTTATACCTTGACTTTTAATACTTAGTAGATATACTTGTAAATATATTAATAGTCTTCTAGACTCCTGCTTGGCCTGTTTCCCTCCCAGCCAAGTAAATCACAATCGAAATGAGTAAGATCAGCAAATAGATAATTGCAAAGCATCTGCTCTAAGTAGTACCTGTCCACTTTGTAATTTGCTCTGTGGCACCTAAGAAAATAATATTTACAAATGACTTTGGGAGAAGTTGTTCCTGGAGGATGGATGCATGCACGAGTGAACAGATCATAAAGGTAAATGTAAAGTTTGGTTTTCTTTAAAATTTCTCACAATCATTTTAGCAACCAATAAAAGCCTTGTCTGGGACAGAGCTTCAAAGAATATTTTGTAATAGAAAAAAAACTATATATTTTGTAATAGAAAAAATATATACATATTGTTTTTGTAGGCCAGGAATATAGCTAATTGGCTCGTTGCTCTCTAACAAAGCCCTGGGTTTTCTAACATGAAGGAAGGAAAGAAGGAAGAAAGGAAAAAAACTAACTTCTGCATACATTTTTAAATATCCAGTGTTAATTACTAAAACTTCAAGGCTATTTTATGCATTTCACTTTTTTCTATTAAAAAAAAAAAAAACCAACATAATCAGACACCAAGCGGGCTTCTGTACTGTTAGAGACCTGCACCAGTGACAAGTGTGAACTGGCATGTGGTATTTTCTCAAAGTCCACATGCTGACCCTAAGAGGAATGAATTACTACAACAGGTAGCTTCTCCACAAGGATTCCTCTCTCTTCTCCTAGCTTTTGGACTCTGGGACCGAGAGACTCATAGTCGCAGCTCTTTGTATCAACCAGTATTGTGGCTGACATGATAGAACTTGTGTTCTCCATAAACTGTCCCAAGGTTAAATCCAGAAATGAGATCTAAATAGGCATGAAAGATCACAGTCTTTTATTTCTGCTTTCCTTTTTCTTTAAATGGAAATCTGCTGGAGTATATCGTGTAATGGGGAGATAACATGATGGCTCTTTTAAAGTTAATATGAAAACATTTGAAAAAAATTTGCTCTCATGGCTATAAAAAAAGTAATATCAGGTTTCTTCCTTACGTTTGCTAGTGAGTTCATCTTCTGCTGAGAGTTTTCTTTCCTCTGAAGTTTACTAGTCATTTCACAAATAAACAGGGTGACGCTGTTAA